GAAAACACGAATGGCACAAATCAGCCACCATAGATCACTCCTGTGAAAGTTCATTGAAATCCCGCCTACAGTAACACCTGTGAAAACCGGACAAGACTTTTCTATTTATAGCTCTGGTGGCCATTTTGTGCAGCGGAGCCGAACGTGCCGGCGATCAATTCTGTGCAGTTTCGTTGAAATCCCACAAGCAGTTTGATCTGTGAAAGCCTGACAAGATCTTTCTATTTATCGCTCTTGCAGCCATTTTGTGCAGCGAAGCGGGACGTGTGGGCGATATACACAACTAGGCATTGCACTAATCACTCCTGTGAAGTTTCATTGAAATGCCACCAGCAGTTTGACCTGTGAAAGTCGAACAAAAATTTTCTATTTATAGCTCTGGCGGCAATTTTATGTAGCCAAGCGGAACGTGTGGGCGTTATGCACAACTAGGGATAGTACTGATCACTCCTGTGGGGTTTCAATGAAATTCCCCAGCTGTTTCAAAGATGAAGTGCGGACAAGATTATCGGACGGAAAGAAGGACAGTGCAATTACTACGTGCTGTCCTTCGGGGGGCATAAAATAGATTACATGTACAATAAGTAAATTTTTTGTGTTGTTTTGTTAATAGAGTTATATTTATCACATTCCCGTGCCGATTTTGCGACTCCTTAAAAATGGCATTGCATGGCTGTGCATAATTATGGTATGACGTGACGTCATTTACGTTATACAAACATAGTGTAAACCAAACTCCTCACAGTGATTACCTCGCTTTGTAAAGTGTGATCACATCTCTGTGAGAGTGTAAACACATGGTAACGACGCTCTAAATGTTAGCAATACAATATACGTAATAGTTATAGTACATGAAACTCGTTAGTTACGAGGATATAACACTGGCTGGGGCGACATCTGCTAAAAAATGGCGAGGCCGTTAGACCGAGACTATTTTTTTGCAGAAACATCCCGAATAATAATAGTAATGGAAATAAATAAATAAATAAATCGTTAGCTACATTACAGTTATTTATGATAAGGCAGTTTTTTCAAGTTGTTTTCGCTGCCGCACAAAAAAAAACAAGAATAAAGATCAACAAGGCAAAGGCAACGTTCACAGGACGCGGCCCCGACACACTCAAAAAACCTAGAGCGGACATAAGGGTGAAAGGAGTGGGACATGTAATGTGAAATAATATTAACTAAAACGGGCCCATAAGGCCAGAGGCTAGCATAATATAACTTAATTCTACTTGTTCAATAAATTCAGTATTGAACCTACACGCATTCAATATCCTCTATTTATAGAATGGAATAAAGTGTTTTCAGCTATGTCTCTGCTGATTGCAGTTTACAATTTGTTTGTTTGAATTTGGGAAAGAAATACTTTATAACAGGCATGTGTGAATTAAATGTGTTGGTGCCCCTATAAACGCATGTCACATGCACAAAATAATTGCTAAAGGGTGGTTTAAATCCTTTTAAAATAGCTGCATAATATTTTTTTCTGGAACAAATATATTTACCTACTGTATTCATGTGCGTTTTTTTTCCATAATCCGCTGTAGGATAATGGAAACGGCTTAATTTTACCGTTTTTAAATCTTGTAAAAGAATCCAGTAACATATAGCTTTATACCCTTTAAACGAATTATAAAGAGCTGGTCCGCTGCTATTTGAAAATGGCCGATAGACTGTGCCATATTCAGCAAAAGTTGATCTGTATGAAAATAGTGATTCATTTCCACGAATTATAGCGATCTAGCAGATGATTTCTAGCTTGATCATAATTTTGAATTGTCGGTCTTGTAAACTTCACTTTTTCCTGTCCTGTTTTTGTTAGGGGTCCTCCTTGGCTCCTTGCCGCTGGTCCTTTTTGCTGGCTTGTTTGGGGTTTGCGTTCATTGAACGCCACCTCTCCTTGTTGATCTTGTTTATCATATTCTACTAAGTTAATGCTTACTGTATACAAGAGGAGGTTGAAATTGAAAAAAAATCAACTTTTGCCTAGCAGAGGATCATAGTACTGAGTCTATATCATTGTGTCTATATATTTCGGCATGAATTACTTTTCTTGAATTGTCTCTTCCAAAAGCGTAAACTAAACTACAATTTGTACATATCAACAAAATTGGAATTTGTTACTACATGTATTTAGATTATCATATAATGCCTATGTTATACTATGCTGAATTGATGTCAGCAATATAAATATTTGGTAGATGGAGATTGATGATCAGCTTACTTTATGTAGAAAAGTAAGCATGTCCTTGTTTTTGTTAATTCTTAACTTTTATTTTGAGTGCCAATCTGTTTCACACTGTTAAAAGCGAATATGATGCATCTTGACATTTCTGTCAGGTCTGGTGCTTAAGAATAATGTTGTGGTTATATTGTTAAATGATTTCTTTGTGTTTATAAGATAAAAGTATCAGATGAATCCTTTGAAATTGCCGGCGTTGATTTTTATTAAAGAAGGAGTGGCAACTGAGGCATCACCCACTATGACATGATTCTTTATTTTAAAATGAAATTATTGTCATGAATAAAAAATGTACAAATAAGAAATAATAATATAATACAAATAATATGTTTCAAAATCTGCATGGAGATAGTCACCAGTTGTCTCTCTTGAATCACACAAAATTGCCTGCACAGTTGATGTCTACAAGAGGCATAAATTGAATTATATTTAATTCTTCTTCACTTACTATCGTTACACAATCTACGATTATGCATTTAGAGAAATACTTGGTGTATAATCAAACAGACTCTTAAAATTCATTTTCCATGTTTGAATATACCTTTTATTGTGCAAATTAACTAATGAAACCAACAATTCAACCAGTTGGTGTTACACGCTTTTTTCACAATAGGCTGTTAATTGTTAAGAATTTAACATATCAAGTCTGGATATTAGACTTAAAGTATACCTTGGAAAGGGGAATCTCAAATCGTTACATCAAAGAACAAACGTTTCCATGCAGATTAGGCACATACCATTTTAAGCCACAAAACTGTGTAAGTGATGCCATTAATATCCTTGCCAGTCTGTTTCAATTATAAATAGTGACAATCATATATGACCTATTTGTATCGTTTTTTAACTTTTATGTTAAGATTTTCTGTTGTTTTTTTTTCAATGTATTACATAATTAACAGTGCGAATAGTTAGAAGCAACTTTCACCGTGTATGCTTTGCTCACTAACGGAGGAGTAAATACAATAAGATTCATGCATGTAGCACATATAAATTGTTTTACTTAGAATTTTATTTTACACGTCATTCAAAAACATTTGAAATTTCTATGAAGGGATTAAATATTCCTGTACAAGGTGATCTTAAGCGACTCTGACATCCCTTCACGACGTCCCCGTCGCTTGGAGTGCATAGGTCACACCAGACGGGTAACCTAGTAAGGTCACTTTGCTTGTATGACCTAGCAAACGGCGAAGAATGTGGCTCAAAAATGCTGCTGTCTCCCGGAAGAGGTATATTTCTACTATTGTTTTCCTGCGTTCTGCGATGCGAAAAACTTTGGTCCTAGGGGAAGACCTCTATGACAGTAGACGGCTTGAGAAGACCTCCGTTGCGGCTCTACGACCAGCGACGCAACTCAGGCCGATAGTCTGAGACATATGGCATAGCCGACGCCAAGTATAAATAAACTTAAAAACCACACTCCATCCCTCTCCCCCCCACACACACTTTAAGCGAGATCTTGGTTAATTTTTCTTCATACAATCTATTTCCGCTTTTTGTGGCAGGGCCGTATTGTCCAATGGAGAACTTAGGCCGGAGGCCTTCCAGCAGGATCTCATGAGGTTTAGCACTTAGTAAGTTATCATTAAGTAAAATTTTAACAAATAAGAACCTAAGGTCGCTCCCTACCAGTCGTTTCCTTTGGGGTTCTTAACCGATAAAAAAATCATTAATAAACACAAAATACATAGTTATGAAAGGTCAGGTGAGGTAAGGTAAAGTTAAGTTAAGTGAGGTTCGATTATGTAAGGTAAGGTAAGGTAAGTGAAGTGAAGTGAAGTGAAGCCGTTTTTGTCGTTATCAAAGTTAGAATAAATAAATAAATAAATGACACAAGTACTCGCGCATGTACGCACGCGCGCACACACACCACCAACCAAGTACCACCAACACCACCACTACCACCAACAACAAATACAAAATAACAGAAAACAAAGCAAACAACAGCAACAAATAAAACAACGACAAAAAATAAATAAGAATAACACAACAAAAACAAAACACAAAAAGCACACAAAGAAAACAATAACACAACCCAACAACAATAACAAAAAAAAGAGAAATTAACAGGAACAAAAAAGAAGGAAAAAACTGGAATCAAAAGAAATTTAAAATGTTCGTGTTTATCTGCAGGTTTTCCACTAACAGGATTTCAGTTCCTTGTGAATTGCAGACAAAAAGACTTTTTGAGTTCTACAAAGATTCGCTTTCAACAGACTGAGTTAAAGTCAACACAGTCTATAATTAGAGTGATAAATGACCGAATAAATATCAATGGAAGAAAATAGATATTAACAAATGTACTAAACTCGTTAAAAGTGTGGCGAATGAAATTCGGAATTTCACATAGAATGACATTAATGATACTTTTCCATCTGTTCAATGACTGTCAAAAAATAATACATTCCATTTTGCTTAACCGTTAACAATAGGTTTGAATTGCGCGAAACAATAATTTAATTCCAGGGTTATAAAAGAGAAAATCAAAATTTACGTGACAAACTATAAAAAATATATTCTGGAAATTAAAACGACACTAAAAATATAAAAAGATATGAATAATTACATAGCTGAACTCGAAAAACCACTACGCTACTCGGATGCACCTATTCCTACACGTTTTTATTCTCATATATTGTAATACAAATGCAAAATATAAAAAATGAATAACTTGCACAACCTATCATCTCAAAATAGTATGATCGAATAATGTAAACGTTATCGTGTTACAGTCGCGTTGATTGCGGACGAGATCATTCTATTGTAGAAGGTCTCTTTGTGTAGACGGAAATATAGGAGCAGATGATAATGTAAACGTCCGCTTCGATACCATTTGAGGTAAATTAATATCTTATTTTATTTTATTTTCTTTTTTTCTGTTTTAATATGCTATGATTTTAGTAAGGTTTATTTGAAGAAAATGTAAGATTATAATTTTTATTTTGATTATGCAAATACTCTTACTTTTACATTAAAAAAAACATCACTTTAACCATATCAGTGTGGCAATACCACGTGACATTGACGTCATTTTCGGCATCATTTCCAAGACAAAAGTTGCTCGATTCGGAAAAGAAAATAGCCGTAAATATTTTATTTCTGTACCAATTTCTTTGGGATATGCACCAGTCTACGGGGAAAAATATAAGCTTTCAACAGAATATTGGATCTTCGTCAGTTTATAAGCCGTTTTATCAAACACTTTGCATAACCTTGGAAGTTGCTTGTATTAGAGCGGGCTTCAGTTGCAAGCTATTTCGTTTTCTGGCGTTATCTGGTCTACGTCATGATTAAAAAGTCAGGTTTACATCAACCGGGAGTACGGAAGGCAAAACTCTACCAAAATATGTTCATATTTTTATTATGAATGACATAAATCTTACATTTTTCTTCAATTGACAATTCTGGCACCAGTTCCAAGTCGAAAAAAAGGACTACAGTTTAAAGCAGATTTTAAAATCCGTTGCAAATGCAAAGCAACATGCCTACCGTTCTCTTTCTATAATTATGTTAACCATGAAAAACATTTTATTTACTATACGATTCACATAAACACAAATGAATATTTAAATGATTTTTACTCGCTGCGCTATAAGTGATTTTAAAAGTCGTAAAATTGTTGTCTGCATTTGTAAAGAAATTGATTTGCTCTTTAATCATTGTTCTTTCACGGTAATGATTATGAAAAATCTATTTGTGTCATGTAGCAATACTAAACGTGGAATTGAAAACAGAAACCCTAAATATCGCCCAAAACGGCAAAATTGAAAATGTTGCAGGCTCGGATTGACTTAGCTAGCCTGTCCAATGAATTACGTGCACATTCAGGATCACTTCGATTTGTATGCTGTGAAAAGGGTTACGCCTCAACGCGGCAATTTTAAAGTCAAAGGTTATTCTTTTGTAAAGAGTAATTTATACGTATAACCACATATATATAAAGAACCTGTAGCAATGTTTTAGTATGATAGATTCAGCTTTTTAACACTGTGGCACTCGTTGATAAAAAATATTTTTACATCCTGTTTTCATACCCACGGTAACCGTTTTTCGTGAACTGGATATAACTTCGTTCACTTAAGAACACTATTAAACACACTATTAAACACTATCTATTTTATAATTGCATTTATTCCTGTTGATAAACTGCATATCTGACAAATTTAGTTTATTATATCCCTCAACTCATCTTTATCAGAGAGCTCACCAATATACATTGTAAAGCGAGGAATGGAACGGAATATTTATGGTTTGAAAACATTTAAATCGAGTAGAACTGTTTCACAATAATGTCTCTTTCAACTGAATAAAACGATAGGGCTATTTGGGACTATTTCTTATCGATGTGGTCATTGGCTGTAAATGCATGGATTATTGCACGCGGCATGACCTGCAGATGTCCTCAACAGGCTTTTTGTAGCATTTTAAGATTTAAAAAAGGACCACACATTAAAATCTAAAACATAATAAACATGACGCATATACTAAATAAGTGAATTATCTGATATGTAAATAAAGAAGTAAGTCATTTGACAGTTGAAGGATAAAAATTGAACATACTCTTCAAATGTAATCGTAATTTTACTAAGCTTATGTTAGCTATCAATTATTCAATGGACGCATCAGTGGCATATGTACCCCAGTCATAGATCTTGCCGATGTTGCTATTACAGATGTTAATGTAAATATTTATATAATTATTGATAATCATTGTTATTTCCGTCTTTTTGAATGTTTTGTTTCAAGAAATTTGACTGTGATCGATGGCTGTTAGTTTGTAAAATCATTTATCTGTTTACTATTTTCTACTTTGTTTACTCCACATGGCGTCCATTCTCGTTCTTATTCATGGCTATTTTGGGTCTTTTTTATAAATAGAGAATCACAAGTAATGCAACTAAGTAACAATACTATCAGATTTACACGGCAAAGTTCCAAGTTCAAATTGTGATTTCGTTTATCAAACTCTATAGAAATTTATTATACAACAATTCCAGAAAAAAATGTATACCTTTTAAAAGTCTCTCTTTTGAGGACAAAATAATTGGCACAAAAAAACCCAAAAAACTTTTAAGCTGACAGAAACAACCTCAGTAAAGGTGAAGTCATTCCATACGAAACACCCAAATAGTCTAGTTGCTCCGCCACGAACCTATTCGTCACATTCACGAGTGTCAGTGTTTGTCAGTTACTCTTTACAAAAATAAACTGAAAAAATACATTTAGCTTTACAACACTCGCGTTAAAGTGTAACCCTTTCATAGCATACAAAAGTGTGTTTTTTATTATAACTCTTTCTCTCACTGAGAGCACATATTTTTCTTATCAATTTCGCCATTGTGAAATAGAATAAAACACATTTTACTACTTAGGATAAAATGAGCAATACTTTAAACATCTTCAAAACGGAACCAAAATATTATTTTCCGACAGGGCTAAGTCTACGTGATTTGACAATGTAACACCGCACTTTGGGGTCAAACGCACTTTGGGGTTCGACCCCAAAGTGCGTTAAACTTCGCACCGCACTTTGGGGTCCAACGCACTTTGGGGTCAAAATCGAGAAATTGACCCCAAAGTGCGTTAATATGCTACATATCAACGCACTTTGGGTTCCAGAGGTCTAAAGGTGTCATCTGAGTTCTGCTTAAATACTGAGTACTGTCTTATTTTCGATCTGCGACATTGAAATATTTGAGGTGGAGTTCAAGATGGCGGCCAATACTTTATGATGCTTAAGTGATAAAAGTTTTATTAGATTTACCACTTTAAATATCTAAAAGTTGTGTTCATATAACAAAATTACGGTGGCATAAAATTGACATTTGCATGTTTTTTGGGGCTTTTTTTTTAGTTTTGCATACATATTTTATTTTAGTTTTGCATACATATTTTTTCAGTTTTGCATACATAATTTTTTTTTAGTTTTGCATTCATATTTTATTTCAGTTTTTCGTACATATTTTATTTTTGTTTTTCGTAAATATTTAAACCAATCAAAACAGCCTTCATATCTCATAACAGCCTATATTTGAGTATAAAACTAGCACAGTGGTTTGGTCACATTTCGACCCATTTTTGGAATCGGCCCAATCATTTTCGGCCGGGGAAGTCGGGTTTCGGTCGACCCTTTTCAGCCCATTTTTTAAATTATATGTATTTTATATAATTATTGTTTTTTAATTATTATATACTACTATTATATTAGTGTCTATTTGGAAAGGGCTGTTAATTGGTGATTAGTTATTATTCCAATGAATATGCACCACTCAACCCCACCCTATGAGAAATAGCGGGGGGGGGGGGGGGTGGTCATTGACTTCTGAAGCCTCATTTATTATGTACATGTAATTGTATTATTACCTCATGTTGTCATGTTCGTATGATTTTAGTGAATAAATAAATGAAAAAAAAAAATGAATTGACTTTAAACCAAGCCGACCACTAATAAAATCTTCGCCCTGCGGGGGATACTCAGAAAATAACATCCCTGCCTTATGCCCCGGAACAGCGCAAACATCAAAACACGATTCTTTTTTAACCCGCACTCCCCCGGGGGCAAGGGAGGTGGTTACAAATGACTGGTGTATTACAATAATGCACAATAAAAGATCTAAATAGGTCCTTATATTCCACTGATTTAGAAAAAAAATGCTTAAAGCTTGGAAGGATTTTTATGAAACTTGGGTCGATTCTTTAGCACATCCAGATAAATGCCAGGTGTGCCGGCTCAAGGTTGGGGTCACACCTACAGGTCAGAGGATTGAGCCTTGGGTTTCATGTCCGCTCCTTATCTCCTAAACCCCATGAAGGATATTAAGGCACATTGTGTCAAATGTTAATCACATCGAGACCATATACAGAACCTTTCTTTGCGTTACCGCGGACTATAAATATATTGTTGTTATTTTTTTTTTGATGCCTCAAAAAATAAAAAAGTTGGTATTTGCAAATGGCATTTGCAATTGGGGTACTGTAATTTACAGATGGCGAAGTGTTTGAAAATGGTGTTTTACAAATGGCGTAATTATCGTAACCTCTACTTTGCAAATGGCGTCATGTAAACATATGTACGAAACAACAAAAATAAAATATGTACAAAAAACTAAAATAAAATATGTATGCAAAACTAAAGTAAAATATGTATGCAAACTAAAAAAGAATATGTATGCAAAACTAAACAAAGGCATGTATTCAAAACTAAAAAAAAATGTTTAGTTTAGTTTAGTTTAAACATATTTTATTGCATTTAATACATGTTTACAAATATATCATACAAATGATGAGTATATATCAAAATGCAAATGGGTTGGGCAACAAGATCTTACAACATTAGATTAAGCCCTTCCCAGGTATTTTTAGTACTGCCTGTACGGACTACTACTTAAAACCGCATCTACACCTAGTCAAGTTTCTTATATGTCACATTTAGCTAAATAAATGGCTCTTTCAACATATTATCAAGCACATTTTTTACTGAAATGTCTTACTTAGATTACCCAGAATTTATACCTTTGTCTATATTTCTATAAAATGTGTAAATAAAAAACGGGAAAATAATGCATTAAGCTAAAAACAATGGAGTTAATGAAAGGTGTCCTTTCTTTTAAAATAATAGGAAAATTTGAGAAAAAAAATATTTCAAGCTAAATAATTGATACAAATTCTTTATTTAGTGATTTATTTGGTGAAAGTTCTTCACTTACTAATCAAGAACATTTAAATCCCTATTGATTCTACTATAATTCAGAGCACATGTTTTGCGTCTATTTAATACCTTGAGTTTTTTGTTGACTACAATATATTATTTAAAACATACTGAACATTAATTTTCTATG